TGTCATTTACATATAAATTCTTTGCTTACTTTAAGTTCCATAGCGATTGAGGACGAGTAATTGGCAAAATTAAACAAAATGAACTGGACTGCCGTGACACAGCCTCTTTAATTTCTGCCGTGAGAATTTTTAAGTTCTATGTAACTCAAAAGTATGTTACGAACGCAATTTTTTTAGTCGGGCTTAAGTTAGGTTTAGTTAAGACTGTAGATATTTAAAAGAAATAATTGAACACCCAACGGAGATTTAATTTTGCCAACACGGGAGAAACCTTAAAATTCTCGTTTTCAAGTAGATCAAATAAATACCGGACGTCTCCATTAAAGCCGCTTGAATAGCGCTTCACCATTGAGTTGCTTTTATAAGTTGCCAAGCAACTGAGCCGGCCTCGACTGTCTGATCGCACGAAACTATCAAGTTTTCCAATTGGAATCTTTTTCTTTGTTTTGGATGCTTTACAGTTGAGCTCACGCACATTGGCGACGTCCTATTAAAAGTGTAAGGCGCGTAAAAAGGCGCATCAAACTCAAGTACTGTGTACCGAGTGAGAAGCGGTCGCCATAATCATATAATAAAGTAAACAAATACGTTTGCAGCGGCCATGTTTTGCTCGAAATTGGAGCCAAGTCTTTAGTTTCATGGAAGTGCGGTAAACGGGTCGAACGCTAGAACTTCAGATGGAGTTGAAATTTAGCCTTTAAGGACTTGCCGTGATGTGTTCCGTTATGCTCAATGAAGAAAACTTTTTTTTCTACATTGTTTCTTTTCACTCAATTGTTAAAATGACTAACGGTTAGCTTTACATACACTTCTGAAGAAACTTTTTAATTGCACTAGACGTTGTCTTCAGGTGTCAAATAAGAGTCGTAGGGTATAAGCGGAATACGCTCCAGCAAATATAAAAATTTAAATAGTAAGTCCTTCTTTTAATTGCTCGAAGCACTTTTTTCAACAGTACCAACCGTTTCTGTTTTTCTTGTAAGGCATTGTGAAACAGAGAAAAATTCCTTGTTAATTTAACTAAATCTCAAGAATTATATTCACCTTATCGCAGGGAAATGCTTTGATCGGATTCTCTCTGCTTTTATCGTCATAGACTGGTTCTAATTAACTTAACAAGAAAATGAAGAAGACACCCACTGTATGAGAAGAAATTGTAGGCTAATAAATTCAGGCTATAATTATGTATTGTAATATAAGAACCGAAACATTTGGTAAATTTCTAGGTGTTCTTAGCTCCGGTTGTCAGTTCTTTGCACTGAGAGATGGCTTCGTTAATCCGACCCTGTTTGAGTATACGTTATTAGTGCCTCTCGGCTTAACTTTATTGATTTGTCTTTCAGGAAATTGCGGTCAAAACAACCGACGCATCACATTTCTGACACCAGTCACAGGTTTTTACCTTGAAGGACACGTGATTTCAAATCATTCTGTGGAACTAAACCTAGACTGCCAAGATCAATGCGCCCTTGCTAGGGAATGTGTTTCATATAATATTGGTCCAATGATCAACAACAAGATGGTCTGTGAACTGAGTAATTCAGATCACGTGCAACACCCAGAAGATCTGAAACCAAGAAAAGACTGGTTCTACAGAGGCACAGAGGTATGACTAAATAATACAACTTATCAGTGTCAACTACTCAACCCAACTCTACGACTTCACTATCATTACGTAGTAAAGATTTGCTTCAATTTTATTTTAAAAGCGTATTTATAAAGTTAATGGGTCTACTGGAGATGCATGCAATATAGGTTCGGTCACACTAGCAGTTATACCCACTTGCAAATGGCTTTTGCCCATGGGGAAGCAACTTTGTGCGTGACCGACAGTTCCCATGGTGAATTTGCCTCCGGAAAATTTTCATCGATACGTGAAATAGAACAATAGTAAAACTAGTGATAGTTGACACTACAGCTGCCCCCGCTCTGTATATTGTTGGGCAATAGTATTCTTGCTCGTTGCGTAGCTCTTTGAAATATACTGATTTCATAATGAAGATGTTCACACGTATTCCATACAATAGGTGAGATAAATTTTAGGAAACGCAAGGTTCCATGCACAATTTCGGTTCGATTTACACAGCTTTGATCAAAACATTCTCAGTTTCGAGAATAGTTTATTCTAAACCATAAGAAAAGATTTAATTAGAAGTTGAATTTTTCGCTATTGTTCTATTTCACTTTTTACATTTAGTTCATTTTATTTGCCCGAAAGTAACCCTTAGAAATTAAATGGACGTTTGATCAAATCACGCTCGCGCATTCTAGTCTTATTTTAAAGTTTTCAGCGGAAAGACATCTGTGAGCAGGGAATAAGTCAGCACAGAATTTGACGCTCGGCCAATTTCTGTAATCGTCCATCGTTCTGCTAGTGATAAGCTAGCCGTTAAATCAGAAGCTAGTCTTATTTCGGTCAAAGAAAGAGAAAGAGTGTCTGGTAAGGTTTCCAGTCAAAGATTTGTGAACTCGTTCTGGCAAAACTCACTTGGTGTTAAAATATAGACTGTCATACGCACCTTATAAATTCATCTGCGCTTAACGAGTGTCTTTTGGTCCATAACTTTCATAACAACTGCTCCACAGAATGTCACTGATAACACGTAGCGCAGAAGAGTCTTGAAGTATGACTGCACAATTAATGTCACAAAATCTACCTATTATAAGCGGTCCCTTCGGGATTTTTTGTGTTTTACGTCATCCTAACCATTTCGTACTTGCGGGCGCAAACAATCGAAACGTCATCATTACCTACCGATTCCTCGCGGCCCCTGTTCAAGCAAATCGTAGCCTGCGTAGCTGGCGGTATTGTGTAGTAGTCGAGTGAGATTTGGCGGAGGAGCCGTTGTAATATAGTCGAGTGAGATTTGACGGCGGAGCCGTCACGAGCGGCGAAGCCGCGAGAAATACCGCCTGCCAGAGAACCATGATTTTTCGAATGCCGCCCACTTTTGTCACGTTAGCTGATCCCAATTAAATCAGCCAATCAAAGAGAAACCTGCAATTTGAAACTTCCGATTATTTTCACGCGAGACAGTTTAGAAATAAGCGTTGACAGGCTAAACACGACTCCTAAGCTCGTGACAATGTGAAACGTGACCTTGTGAGTTTGCTTGAACAGAGGTTTTTTTTATTTTCTCGGCTCTCGCTCGAAGGTTACTAGCACTACACAGTGCATGTATCATTCTAAACTTTGACTGAGTAAATCTTTTTTTGCAACACTAGGCTTAACATTAAAAGGTCATGAAGCTGGTTTGTTACATGCATACTGAGTAACCATTTCCGGTGGTTTATTCTTCTGTAGGTGTTCCTGATAGGATTTGATCTCAGATGCAGTTGTAAAGTGTTTTAATTTTCTTTGACCTTTGTTTCTTACGGCTAAATTAAGACAATTCCAGCGCTGTGAAGTTTAAAGACGCCATTTCGGCAATTTGGTCATAAATTATGCTCTTTCTAAAGCGGAAATCACAATCACTTTACATGTACGTCTTCTCCAGTTTGCCATCTGCTCCCTAAATTGGGAAATATACGCGAAGGCTCATCTAACATGATTGACATATGTATGGCCCTCGACCAATCCGTTTCCCCGCACACTGGTGTGCGGACCATTCAAAATACCGGGGTTTTCTGGCAGGCGGTATTTCAACCGCCTCGTCCCTACTCCTTTTTTTTGGAACACGGCTCCGCCGCCAAAACTTTAATCTCCCACCCACACAATACCGCCAGCTACGCAGGCTAAGCAAATCGAGATTTTTTCTATATTTACTGTATGACTGTATATTTCAACTGTAAGTACTTTCCTTAATATACGCGTAAGTTACTAGAGTGCCTCCTCGGGATTTCGCCTTCTGGGCAGTAACTGCGCGCGTATTGGCGAGTTGTTAACAGTGATAACAAATTAAGATGATCAGATGATGATTTTCCTACACATTTTTTTTTTTCAAATCAGAATCTTTGCGCCACTAACCCCTGCCTGAACAACGGGACATGCTACATGGGATATACTGAGAAAAAGTACGCTTGTGTTTGCCCAGTTGACTTCAGAGGTGAAAACTGCGAAGGTAAAAAGTATTGTAATAACTTCAACACAACCTTGTATTTATCAAGAGTTATACGTCTCGATGGATAAATGTCTGCCAGAATTGCCTCATAACCTGAAACTGCCAAGTTAAGTAAAGGCATATGGTTATGAAGGACTCGCGGGGGGATTCCCAAAGTGACGGGGATGTCCGTCGGAAAATGAAAATTAGGCTCCTAAGGAAGACCAATGTGGGTGTGGCTCAAGCTTAAAGTGACCCCTAAAGGAGACCATACTAAAGCAGACATCTAAATAAGAGTTGGGGATCTAAATCAGGTGCCAGGGGTGTTAACTGTGTTCTTTTTTAAAAGTTAGCGGATTTCTGTGAAGTAAGTGTCACGTCATTTTTGGTAAATTTCTTTAGGCACAGCCCTAAGAGATACCTGAATGGGCAAATATATAGTGAACACCAAACACCCTAAGTGAAACCAAAATCTGCAAATTACACCGCTATGTGAGACGATGAGCAACCCCCTCACTTTTATATGGGAGTTCCCTGCGGGGAGAACTTAAATACACTGAGATCGAGGTACGTAGGTTTTGTTAGCTGAATTGGAAATATTTTGAATGACTAATTACTGGATTAGTTACTGGATTCGGCTTATCTTTCGCGTAATATACATGAAGAATTATGCAAACTGTGGAGCCTGTTATGCATGTTGAATTCACATCGGCCGATAAAATTGTCCTCGATCTACATAATACTTCATATCATACCAAAGCGGAATCCAATCATTGCCAATTAATTAAATTGCTCCTTCATTTATTGTAATTTCTGTAGCATCTGTATCTACCCTCTCACAGCTTTTTACTCAACCCTTCTACTTTTGGCAGTTTACCGATACTTTTGTTTAGTACACGACATATTTAATAATGAAGCACAACGTTTCTTAAATAATGAATCAAATGAATAACTTAGAACTTTCTCTATGCAGTTGCATTCTTATCGTGCAGCGATTTAAAGAAGGCACACCCTACAGCAACAAGTGGATATTACATCATTGATCCAGATGGAGAGGGAGGCCTGGAACCATACTCAGTGTACTGTGACATGACTGACAAAAATGGAGTTGGCGTGACAGTCATCAGTCACGACAGTGAACGTAGGACGCTTGTTAATGGACATGAATATCCAGGCAGGTACTCGCGTAACATTCACTACACAGGAGCGAGCCTGTCTCAGTTGGCGACACTCACCCGTGTCTCCTTACACTGCGAGCAGTTTATCAGGTATGAGTGCCATGGTGCAAGGATATTAAAACATGGATCGTCATGGTGGGTGTCACGTGATTCTACTAGGATGAGTTACTGGGGTGGAGCATCCCCTGGAAGTGGTAAGTGCGCGTGCGGGATGAACAACTCATGTGCAGACCCCAGTTATGGCTGCAACTGTGATAAGGATGACCCTGTATGGCGTGAAGACAGCGGTCTCTTGACTGACAAGACAAAGCTTCCAGTAAAACAGCTAAGGTTTGGTGATACTGGTCATAGCACCGAGCGAGGCTACCACACTCTGGGAAAATTCAAGTGTTACGGTACAGCATAATGTCACACAGACAAGCTTGTTTTTATCATAATTTATTGTTGTTTAGTGGAATGTTCAAGAAGTCAGGCAAATTTCAGGCAACTGCATTTCGGGGTCAACTCAAAAAAGCCTCTACAAAAGTAATTTATAAGCTTTCGGACTCTGAACAAATAAAGCACATGTTAGATCACCGTCTGGAGCACTCCCCGGGAGGGGGTACTCTTTGGATGTGCGGCACGCTGCCTGAGACCCTGGCCTTATAATTTTCCCTAAGCTACTTCAGAACTGATTCTTTGTTCTCAAGTAAAAACAAAACCTTACCCTATTTGACACCCTTACGCTTAAAATCTATAGTCAATTTCAGAGAAGAAGGATCAAAAACCATTCTCTTTGGTGCCGCACATACCTCTAGAGCTTATGTAACGGAGTATACCGGCCCCTCCTCCCGGGCCGAACAAGGAGTAACAGCGTGGTTGAAGGTTCATTTTTGAGAGGGTGTTGCATTACAGACACCAAAATTATAGAGCCGACGGGTCTGTTTATTTTATGGATAACGTTTTGCTCAGTTAACTGTCTTGGCCAAATTTAGACAAAGACAAAAAAATGGGGAAGAAAAGTGCAAGGACAGCTTTGACGAGCGATGTGACAAGGAAAGGATCGAAGCGAAGTTGTGTATGTATCTTGTTACACCGCGCACGCGCTTTACTGTATATAACACTATTTTGTTTTTTGTTTTTATCAGCCAGTTTCGTGATTGGGGTTGATAACCGGTTTCTTTCATAAAGAAGAAACTTGTCGCTTTACATTCTTAAGCTAAAATTACCAGTAACTAGGATATGATAGTTATCTTTGCTTCTACATAGGCTTCCTTGCCATTAATACTTTCAACATTTGATCTTGTAAATAATTTAGTTAGAATAAAGTATATTATCTTTAATGTATCATAAATTTCTGTATACTGTTGTTGTATTTGTATGTGTTTATTGGCAAAAATAAATGAATGAATGAATGAATAAGTGGTAAGAAAGAACACTAGACACGGTCTTCACAGGTTTTCGCCTTTTTTAAGACCAGGTATAGAAGATATAGAGAGTTATAGAGTACTTGAATTATAACTTAAAATTAGAGACGCAAACTAAGTTTAAGTATGTTGATTTCAAATTAAAAGCGACGCGTTGTATGTACACTAAGCTAAATTTAAATCAACAAAACATGTTTAATTCAAACAGATTTAACGACATAAAACTCAGCTGAGTATTTTAAACAACTGAAGATAGAAATTACCTTTGAATTGGAATAGAACTCATCTTTGAGCTTCAACTTGTTTATTGATTTGTTCTTTTTTAGTTATCATTTTGGGCTATTAATCATAAATACAGTCGAATTTAATTACTGTCAATCCGTTGCGTTGCTGAAGAACTCTCTTTAAATTGGAAAGTTGATTTGTAGAAACGTGTTTAATTTTGGTTTAGAGTGGTTTTCGTTTGAGTGTCGTAAAACCAAAACCAAAGTAATTACTCTGGCCAATCACATAGGACACAGACAATACATTGAACCAATCAAAACTCGAAGTAATTACATGTGGCTGACGCAAAGCGCGGGAAAATGCATGCGAGCGCGTCACAATTGGCTTTGGTTTTACTTCTGATTGGATGAAAAGGTGGCGCGAATCTTTTAAGCCAATCGCATCGTGTAGAAAGTGCAAAACCAATTACTTTTCGACACTCAAATGAAAACCGCTCTAAACGGGGCTTAAACAAGGTCAACTACTTTTCAGCATATAGTTTTGAGTAGCGATATGATTTACATTTCCCAGTATGAATAGCAGTGCAGCTGAATAATAATGTTGTTTAATAAGCTACTTATTTTGCGTTTTTTACTATGAATAAACTTCATAATATTCTGGTGATAAACATTCAGCTGCTGTGAAATTGTAACTTGATTTGTGTCTGCTCTCGTTTTGGTTCTCGTCAACTGAAGTCAAGAAAGTCTTCCCTTTCCTTGCGCATGCACAAAAGTCATCCGGCTCCCTGGTCTTGCTGTAGTCTTTACAAATTAGGTCTCCTATGTAATCGGACTGAGGACACGTGATTCTACAAGGTTCATTCCAGTTTATAGTCTAGTGGTCATCAGAGCATAGGTGATAGTAAATACCAGCCTGAGTGGAGTAAAGGAGCCTTGTTCGACTTCTAGCAACATGCACATAATTATGAATGTAATATATGCAGAATGACTCAAAGAAATAAATTAAACTGAAAATTACACCCTTTTTTGGCGCCAACCAATTCACAAGCAGTGGCTTTGTTAATGTTGGGGGCTTGACTATGATGGCAACAAAAAAACCAGGAAGGACTCCTTGATTTCTCACGATCGATTAGCTTTTTTCGCACAATCACAGAGATTCAACTTGCCTCTATTTGTCGATGGCAGCAGCGATACAACACTGATCACGAAAGTCTGCCCTTGAAGAAAAAATGCTTTGAAAGGTCACGCTCCCTTCTGCTTTGATTTTTTTCTGCAAAAGATATTTGCACGATTAGCTTCACTTTCATTTTTACCTTTATTTACATTTGAAACCGCGTGAGAAGTGTTTCTTTTTCAGAGGGTGGGTCACGCACATACATAATAGGGAACTTAAGAACCACGACGAAGTTCACGACGACGACGTCTGTTGATTGGGAAAAGACTGGAACGAGAACGTCAGTTTTGGCGGGAAAAAGGAAACTTAAGATACAGTCGGTCGGTAGGTCGACGACGACGAGACTGAATGTAAACAAAAATGTAAAACTGTGATGTTCGTTCGCAACAAAGTATTTCACAATGGCGTCTTTTAAAACAATGCAAGATCTTATTTTTTAAGCCTTACGTCTAATTTCATTGACGATGAAGAATTTTTTGTCTTGTCTGACCTTTTCGAGTGGAAAAACGTCTACTTTCCGTACGAAATTATTCAACTTTCAACTTGAATGAGATGTCCGAGTCCGAGTGTCTGTCAGAGTTTAGATTTCGAGAAAGAGACATTCTGATGTAATAGCTGTTTTCCAAATAAAATTTATTTCCTCTATATCAAAGATATATGATTTGCCTTACCTACATGCGTACAAACAAATTTATGACTTACGAGTTCGCTCGCTCGGCCTCCACAGCTGTTGTCATTCTTCGAAGTAAAATCAATTCACTAGTCGAATTTTCAACATCGCTTGTTAGGAGAAAAAAGGAACGATACCTGGATTTACGAGGATAAGAAGATGCAAAAGACTTCAAAAATCGCTTAAAACAGTGGATTTATACCTGCCGAAGCTTGTGGTTTGCAGGACGACGTGATTCTACTTTGTTGTCATTCTTCGAAGTAAAATCAATTCACTAGTCGAATTTTTAATCAACATCGCTTGTTAGGAGAAAAAAGGAACGATACCTGGATTTACGAGGATAAGAAAATGCCAAAGACTTCAAAAATCGCTTAAAACAGTGGATTTATACTTGCCGAAGCTTGTGGTTTGCAGGACGACGTGATTCTACTTTGTT